CTCAAGGGCATTCATGGTGAGCACAGCCATCAGCACCAGCCATGCCCAGAGGATTTTCATCAGCCCAAAGTGGAACTGCACCTAATAAACCATACCTCCCCCTCTCTCCTTTGTCCCAGCCCCTGGTTACAACCTCTACCTATCTCCATGAATGTGATGACTGCCTATTTCATGGAGTGAATTCATTCAATACCTGTCCTTTTGTAACTGGCTTATTTCACAGACTACACAGCCATCAGCTGTTTGTCCTTGTTGCAGTACTTGTCAGCACACACTTCTCTCTAATCCTGAATGGCATCCACTGTGTGTGGACACCACGATCTGTTCATTGTTTCTCCTGTGAGTGGACATAGCTTACACAGAGCAGTTTCACAACGTGCCTTGGTTTCTCTGATACACCACAGAGTTGGAATCACTGAATCATTTACTAATGGTAGACTTACTATGTTAAGATTCACTCTGCTGTTTTCCACAAGGGCAATATCACTTCAAATAGCCATACAGCCATACAAAGTTTCCAACTTCTCACACCCTTCTCAGAACATATATTCTGCTTTGTTTCTTGAATGTGTGAAAGGGTGTCTGATTGTGAGTTTCATGGGCATTTCTCTAGTAATCCTTGATAGTGACCATTTTTAATGCGCTTATTACCCATTTGTATGTCTTCTTGGGTGAAACCAAAGCCTGTTTGGGTTCTTTGCTCACTCTCTGCTCGACGCTGTCTAAGGTGTGGGTGTCGTGTCTTCTGCATTTCAATTCTTACTCGGTGCTAGAAATCGCTCCCTGTGCTGCGTGCTGCATTCTCACTGATTCTGTTATTTTTCCTTGTGTTATTTGTTCTTCTGGCGTCATATCCACCAAATCACTGTGAAGGACAGAACATTAAGTTTGCCTTTATGTTTTTATTCAACACTTTTTAGCTTCCACATATTGATCTTTAACCCATTTGGACTTGGTTTTTTTTTCCTATATGGTATAAGGTAAATATGAAGATTCAGTATTTTCAAAATAATAACCAATCTTCCCATCAAATTTTATAGAAAAGACTTTCCTTCCCATGTAGATGTTCTTGGATCCCTTTACAATGATAATTTGGTCACGTATGGGAGGGTTTATTTCTTGGCTCTACTATTTTCCACTGGCCTAAATATCTACCCGTATGCCACACCACACTGAAAATTTAGCGGTTAGCAACTCTTGAGATCAGGAAGTTTCAGTGTTGAAATCTTATGCTCCTGCTGCCCTAACTGCCATCATCTGAACCCTGTACCAACCCTGTGTCTCAAGAGGATGCAGTGAAACCATGAGCTTCTCCAAGAACTCTGTTTGTGTCCATGAAAAGGAAAAACTAATATCTCTGTCAACAGTTTGCCCTGCTTCTGAACTAAACGGTAAGCAATGCTGCCACCAGCTTAGCCCCTCAGCTTTCATGCATGCCCAGATAAAATCATTTAAAATTTCAACATGGCAATAGCACAGCCATAAAACATAAACTTGGCCCTTCTATTTTGAAGAAGTGGGTGGATGAATAGGTTGCATGCTCTGAAACTGCCCTGGGAAGGGTAGAATCAGAGGATAAGAAAGGAAGAACATTATGTAAACCTGGGTACTGGTGAGAATGTGCTATGGTGGGAAGGTTTGTGTTCTCTCCCAAATAAACATGCCACAATCCTAACCCCAATGTAATGTTATAGGAGGTAGAACGTGTGGAAGGTGACTATTCAGTCATAAAGCTCAGGTGTCATAAATGGAATCAGTACTTTTGGAATATAGCTCAGTGGGAGCTGGTTCACCCTCCACCATGTGAGGATGCAGCAAGAAAGCACCATGTTTAACAAGGACACAGCCCTTACCATGCACTGAATCTGCAGCCCTCATGATAGTGGGCTTCATAGCGTCCAGGGCCATGAGAAATTGATTTACATTGCTTCTATGCTTCCTGCCTTAGGATGTCATGTTATCACAGCTTGAATGCACTAAGGTACAACCTCTGCTATTCATCTTGATTGCTGTCCTTGGAAAGAAGCTGAAGGATACTGAATTCAGCAGAAGTGCTGAGTGCAAGCCCTGTTCTCATTCCAAGCACTGAATAATGGAGGGAACCAGGAGCCTGGCCACTGTTCTCTGAAACACCATGGCCTTGGGAAACTTATGCATCTCTCTGAACTTAGTTTAAAGAAAACTGGAGGGAATGTGTTCTATAATATCAGTAATGGGCTCCATGAGGCCCTTCTTGCCAATGTGGAAGCTGAGCTTGCAAAAGAGACAGACAGATCAACTCCTGGAATGTCCAGCTAAGGTACAGCTGAGATGCCAGAAGGACTATTCTGGAAACTGTCTCAGAAGGCCAAGCCCTTTGCTTTGAGACTCTAATTCTGTTCTTAGCATCGTTTGATGCAATTGCTGACATTATATTTAGAGTAATTTTACAATTTGCTGCTGGACTCATTTTTCAAAGTTTGCCAGGTTCCTGAATAACTCCTGAAGATTCCTCTTCTTAATAAACCCTCAACCTTTCCTGTGTTCCCCAGACACCATAACATACACTGTTCATGAATCAGTATCCTGCAGTGCAATCCTATTTGTATTCTCAGATAGAAATCCTTTGTTAGAGATTCATCTATTTTTTTAATTGATTTTTACGCTGACATTCCTACAAAGCTCAGAGACAAAGTAAGTTTTCATGCCACTAACTCTTTACTGTCTGTGAATATGGAGAACTCCAAGACAATCAGAAATGACTTTCTGGAATCTTTTACCCTTCTAGGTCCTCTGGTTCAGGAAAATAATATGTTAATGCCACTGTCATGTAACTGTACCCAGGGGCTCTTCTTACCTGGAATTTCCTGACACTAACAGGTGTCATGTAGAAGGAGTTAGCAGTGTTAACATTTCCCTAACTTCTACCACATTAACAGATTCTACTCAAAGTGGTCTTGACTGTTGGACCCCGATGCCTCTTGGGGAAAATTATCCAGTTCCTCTTCACCTCACAGTACCCCATTTCCTATGGCTTATGCATCATTTTAGTCATTTGTAAAACAACTGTAAATCTATAGTCTTTATATTTTATTTCATGTTATTCATTTTTTCACCTCCCACTATGACAGGAAGATTTTATAGCACCTGGTGTCTCTTTAGATGATTTTTTTAATGCACAGTGTATGTATATATATTTTATCATATATTAATTTAGGAGAATTTGATTTAGGAAAAAAAACAAATGAGTACTTTTTTCCTATCTTCTTTTGAAGGAAGATTATCTTTCTCTTCACAATGTGGTTCAGCAGTGTGATAATGTGGACTGTAGTAATGATTAATTTTTTGTTATATGATTTACCTCAACACTACAACTCATTTTATTACTTCTCTTTAAAGTCTGGAAGAAGAGCAGGTACTTCCTATAGTAGATGCTTTTGCAGTCTCTAATACTGAGTGCTTGCATCATTTGAGGTGACACAGTGCGCATACAAGTGTCCTGTAAATTGGAGGCCATAGGCATTTGGGCCTAAAACTGAACCCTTCAATATCATTGCTTCAGATCTAAATGATTATACAATTTTCTTTCATTTACTCCTAAATATTTAAAGATGAGATCCTCCTCCTCCATCATTATTATCCTTCTCTTAACTTTCCATAGGATTTCTGAGTTATGTGCAATCTGACATTTGCATCTGATTGTCTCAGCCCTGGTTCTTAAACAAAAGGGAATAAAAAAAGGAATCCCTGCTGAAAAAGAAAAGAAAAACATTGAAAATATCTGGTGGCCCACAAAATCTTCAGACACACAGAGGAATCAGGCTGAATGTGTACATCAAAAACAATGCCAAGCACATGCATGAAATAGAATTCATAGAAGTTATCACCTCTCACACCTCAGCTAGATGTGCTGACTCACTCTAGGACTGTCCGGTCAAGGGACCTCAAGACAGCTCATAAGCCCGGGTTTGGAGAAATCGGCCAGGACATGGGATGGAGAGTTACCTTTAGGAAAGAGCTGGGCTTGTGGCTGATGGCTTATGGAACTGACAGGCAGACAGATAAGAAAGGATGGGACACAGTGATACCTGCAGACACAGGCTGCCTGTGAGGCTGGGTAGGGACAGCCATGCACCTGAGAGAGGCACACTGTGTTGACTCCCCAGATGGTAAGAAAGAAGACCCCAAAGAGCTGCTCAGAGGAGCCACTGGTGATAAGAGCCAAGATGCATCTCCTACTGAAGTTAAGGACCAAGGCCAGTAATGCATCAAAAAATTTTAAAAAGACAATGAAAGAAAAGTATAGTATCAAAGAAAGAATGTTTTTTCCATATTATGTGCAATGAGAATAATTAGAGATGTAATAATGTTGGACCCTAGGGGCCACTTGAAGTTCATTTTTCTACAAGCATTTAAACTAAAATTAAAAGAAAACAAGTGGCTTTTTCAAAAGAGTTCAGAGTAGAATTCTTTATCCCAAATAAAGGAACATAGAACATTAAGGCACATTAGTTCCTAAAGGAGAAGAGTGCAAGTCACCAAGAAGTCCTATTGTCCATAGACACTGGCAAATATGACCTTGGGATATTTGAAATACGTTGAGTGCAAGTTGGTATGGGTTCTAAAACTCCCACAAAGCTGTGCAAATTTAGAATGAAAATAAGGTATTCAAGCACAGTAATAATTCATGTCAAATATATACAAATTATACTTGTCAACATGAGAACAAATATTTTATTAATATTAGTATATGAAAAAAGAAATGTATACTATATAGTACAATATAAGATTAATTTGTTAGTAGTAGCATTAACAAAAACATTTTCTCTCTAACACATGTAATAATTATTATATTTATACATTATAATCAATGTATCATCTAATTAATTTTACTGATGAATATCTCAATAGAAATCTACTTATATGTGTGGATCATATTATACATCTATAGGTCAGCAGTGCTTGAGAGAGTTACAGTCTGTGTCAAAAGAGGCAATCCAGAGAAGCATGGACAGCCATGATCATTTTTTCCTGGAGGAGAGTATCCCCCACACTCTTCTCATGGCCCCCAGGACTTCCTTGTTCCTCAGGCTGTAGACAATGGGATTGAGCATGGGGGTGAGGATGGTGTAGAAGACAGCCAGGTTCTTATCTTCTGTGGGTGAGCAGACACTCTTGGGCCGGAGATAAGTGTAGACAAAAGGTGTGTAGTAAAATATCACTACAGTTAAATGTGTGGAGCACGTGGTGAAGGCCTTTTTTCTCCCCTCTTTTGAGCGCATGTGGAAGACAGCAAAAAGGACCCGTCCATAGGAAACAGTAATACCAAGGAAAGGAAGGAGGAGAAACAGGACTGCACTCACAAACAGCATGTACTCATAGACCGAGGTGTCCATACAGACCAGAGGCATCATGGATGGGATCTCACATAAGAAATGATTGATGGCCCTAGATCTGCAATAAGGAAGATGAAGGGCATAGGTGGTATATGCCAGAGAATGAATGGACCCCAGTATCCAGGTTCCTGTGATCATCTTCAAACACATGATTTTACTCATGCGGACAGGATAGTGGAGGGGGTGGCAGATGGCCACAAAGCGGTCATAGGCCATAGAGGCCAGGATTAAGCCTTCAGAACATGCAATGTTTATAAAGAAGAACATTTGCACACCACAGCCCAGGAAGGAGATGCTATTGTGGCCAGACAGGAAGCTGTATACCATCTTAGGGACAGTGGTGGAGATGTACATCAGGTCCATGAGGGAGAGCTGGCTGAGGAGAAAGTACATGGGGGTGTGGAGCCGGGGGTCCAAGAAGATGAGGACAGTTATTCCAGAGTTCCCCACCAAGGCAAGAACAAATGCAAATACGATAAGGAGCAAGAGAAGTAGGCCAGTTTGGTTTGGGGGTAACAGCCCCAACAAAATAAAATCCTTTGAAGTTTGGTTCCATTTCTCCATGAACACACACTTCTTTAATTCTTTGAGATGTAAACAAAATAAAAACTAAGAACTAACCTGAAAAAAATAGAAGAGGAAAATAAAAAGAATCATCTTTGTTAGTGTTTGTTTAGAAAGAATTGTATTTCTCCAACAGTAGCTTTTGTTGAATTTAAGACCTAAACTCAATGTTCCTGCCCAGTTCTCCTTGGTAACCATCTCAGCAAGTCATAGACAAATGTAAGGTCTTAAGATATAAACTCTTGTACCACTTGTGTCAAACCCAATGAGGTAGCTGGAGCCTTCCTGCCTACTGACTCCCAGCAGGAGCATTCCTAGGACTATGCGCCAGGATGAGCCCTGGAGGAAGCCAGGATCCTGCTTTCCCAGCTCCCCAACTCAGCACTCAGGTTCACCACAGACATGGCCTGTGGGGCGCAGAAGTGCCCTGTGTGCTTGAGTCTGCATCCTCAGTGACCTCGCCTCCTCCACACCTTTAGTGCCTGCTCTCCCCTCCCCACTGGCACTGCTGCAGCTGAGTAAGCCAGGGTCTTCTCCCAGAGCTGTGCTGCTCACCTCCTAAACAGAAGCTGCTCTGCTGGCCCTCAAAATGGGCCACCATCCAAAAGTTCTTGAAGGTAAACTTGTTGTGTGTCCTGTGAGATTCACCCTAATTTAAACATGTTCTGAATAGTGGCTCTTCCCTGAGGACATTCTATTGTTGATGCCCTACAAACTCTAAAACAAACAAAGTAAGTCATGCATGATTTTATTCTTCATATAAGCAAATAACAAATGACAATAGTGACAAATCAAATAACATGCAAAGTAGTTTTCACCCTGATTTTTTTATTTCCTCTTTTAGTTATACATGCAGAGTTTAATTTGACTCATTTATACAAACATGGAGTGTATCTTCTTCTCTCCAGGATCCCAGTCTTGTGGTTGTACATGAGGTTAGGTCTCACTGTGGTGTATTCTGATGTGAACATAGCAGCCTTAGGTCAGATTCATTCCACGTCTTTCCCATTCCCTTCCCCTCCCTTCTCTTGGCTCACCATTGTGTAACCACTGGTCTTTTATCCTTCCCCTGTCCTCTTGTTGTGTGTTAGCACCCATGTATCAGAGATAACATTCGACTTCTGGTTTGGGGGGATTGCCCTTATTTCACTTAGCATGATAGACTCCAGTTCCATCCATTTACTGGCAAAACTCATCCTGTTTTTCAAAACAGCAGTTAAAACTATCATGGTAACAGACATGTAGCATAGGTATAGATAAAGGAGAAACACACTTACAGATATTCTTATTTCTATAGGAATCTTTAAATGCCCTAATTTTGTTAATTATTCTTTATATTACATAATTTATTATAATGTATCCATAGCCCAAATTCTATAAATTCAGGCATTTGTGTCCTCATTTGACACATATATACAATAGACTTCATTGATGTGAATAATAATATTTTCAAATTAAGTTATGCTGCATATCAGACTATGAGCCTGTGTGCCTACATTGTATTTTTAAGCATTTAGTCATCCATTGGAAAATGTCTTACTCTGTACAGAACAATTTGTTCAATTCAATTTGTATTAGTCTTGATCTCTTTAGAGATCATGCCTAATTACATGTTTGAGAGGAGGTAAGAGCACATGAATCTTGGGCACATGAATCTTTATCTCCCTGTACTTGTAGTTTAGTTCTTACCCAGTACAGGCAGCAGGGTGGATCTTATGCTGAGCTGTGCAAGTAGGAAGCATGTGAGCAGTGGTTCCTTGGGAATTATAGCTAACGTGTTTGTAATTCTCATCTTCAGAGTTGATCATTAAAGTAAAAGATGTTAATCATTTAGAGTGAAAATCAAAGTTAGATAAAATGAGCAAAATTCCCTTCCTAAATAATATTGTCTTCATTTTTGTGCCCATGCCTTTACTTGGGAATTTATATCTGTAATTTCACTCTAAATAACCTCTCTTTTATCCTGAGTCATCCCAGTCCAGGAAATTAATTTTTCTATCATTCATTCTCCCAAATATGGAGAAATTATGATTTATATTTACAGTCTATGTTTTTTACTTCTTTATTTATCTAGACTTGGTATGAGATTATCGACTTCATATCTTTGTGTTTTTCCATCTTACAGAAATACTAATGCCACATTATGTCCCAGGTATTAATTGTATAAGCAATTTGCATTATTAATTTTCCAAAGGAAAAAAAAGCTATTAAGAGTTTGTTGTCATTATTTATATTTAGTAACTTTAAATCAATTGTCACAACATATAACTCTGGTAAAAATGAATAAAAATGTGGAAGAGAGTTTATCATAAAAATGGAAGAGCTTTTTGATGTCTATCTAATTGAGACACACTGAGAATTAAATATGCATGGTCAGGAACCCAAAAGGAGCACAGAATCACAAGGCAACTGGGGAGGTAGGATAGTCGGCTTCTCTGCTTCTAACTACACTAGGAAAAAATTTCATGACCTCACAGAGAAGATGACCACAATATCCCCATCAAGGTGACACATGGTCCTTCGAATTATGTAATGATTGATGGCAGTGCTCCTGGCTCTAGTGGTTAAAATACACAAGATTCCACAGTCTAGAGCTCATATTTAGTGAGTGTCACAGACAACAGAGCAACAGCTCAGACACATGCTGTGGGCTGTGTGGACATTAGTGACAGCAATAACCATAGAGCAGGAAGGAAGGACAGAGGGACAGCTGGGCAGCAGCACTGAGCACAACTCCAAGGAGGTGCTGCAGGAGCCCTCAGGCTCTGGGCCACTCTGCACAGACTGAGGAGCAGGACCAGTCCTGGGGGGAGCCTGCCTGGGTCATCAGGGCAGCAGCAGAGACAAGAGGGTTCTGGAAGTTTCAGACTTCGGGAAAATTGTGAAGGGAGGGATGAGGACTCAGACTCTGTTCTGGACCAGATGAGAGGCTAGTGTGTGTGACATGGGGTCAGGTCTCCTTCTGGAGCTCACACAGGAGGATCTGGTTGAGCAGAGAGCTAAGAGGGGGAATCCATGGGAGAGACTGGGCAGTGGGCAATGAGGACAGCTGATGATACCCTGGGTTTATCAAGGAACCCATACATGCCAAGGACCCCTGAAGCCTGGGCACATCAGCACAGCTGGGTGCTGCCAAGGGACAGGGTGGGACCCATTGAATCCTCTGTCTCTGCCACCTGGCTCAGGGGCTATTGCACAGTAGGCTCTCAGCAGATAACTAAATATGACTTTCTGAAATAAATTAGTATGAATGTTCAAACTAATGATATGTGAGTTCATATTATTTTTACATCATTGTATAGTAAATGTGCACTGAATATTAGGGCATGAGGGCCTTCTGTGGTACTTTCTCCACTCCTTTGTTTAGTCCAGGTTTCATTTTGGATGAAGAAAGGTGCCAGCATCTCTGGCAGTACCAAGCCCTGATCACATAGTGGGCTGTAAGTTTATGTCTTCCGTGGTCCAGTTATTTAATAAGGAGACATACGTTTACATTTAGATTCTCATCAGAGGAGAGTTCAGAGTACCATCAAAAAGATGATAGTGATTGCTACATTGTGATCTTTTTTACTAAATTAAAAATTTTCATACTTCAGATAATGGATGAGATTATTTACTTCCCATTCATCTGTAATTGAAGTGTCAGGATCTGGGAGTTAGACATGAGGGTCTAATTCCATGGATGACCAGCAACTTTCTTTATTGGGTATTGGACCTTATTTCATGTGCCAGAATTTCTTGAAACCCCACTCTCTTGGTTACACTAAAACCTGGGGAGTATTGCTTCTGTGACTACAAGGGTGTCAGAATGATGGTCTCCATTTGTCATTTTACTGGGCATACTGCTCAAATACTTAGAGTTGAAAGAAATATCCTTCACTTGACAGAACCCAACACATATCACTGCATCAAGTGTAGGTGGCTGAGTTCATTTTGCAAAAGTTACAAAAAAGCAATAATAATTAATACAATGAGACTTAATGTTCTTGAAAAAGAGTTACAGACAATCAGCCCATGACCAATAAGCCAATTGTTTGTCTGAGCCTCAGCTAACTCACTCCCAACAACCACAGCTGTGATCTGGGATGATGCAATCATCTGAGCACTGTGTTTAGCACAGAGTAGGTCTCACTCCCTTTTCTTCTCCTTGAAATGGGAAAGACTCAGAAATTCAGACCTTAAGACCCAGTGAAATGAAGATCACACTCCCAGAGAGCATCACATTCTGGAATTTCAACAGGTTCACACTAATTGATTTTACATTTAAACTGACTCCTGTGTTTTACAATTTGTTATGGCATGGCCTATTCTTTGAGCAAAATAAATGTTTCCTTATGATAAGAAAACCTTGTCTCCAAAATATCTTCTTAGTTAAAGCTAACCCAAATCAACTTAGTACAGTGATAGTGTTTTGACTTACATCATCTGAAATCTGGGACTGGGTTTTGAGAGAAGTAGTTGTTTTTATTTACAACATTCCCACCCAATAGTCCATTGAGTTCTTTAAAATGTTTAAACCCCAAGCTGTGCTCACACTCTGCCAGGCTAAGCAACTTAGTGCTCAGTCTGAGCAGCTGGCCCGGATCTCACCCAGCTCTCCTGATGTGAGGAGCCAAAGGCACCAGGAGGGAGTTCTCAGAACATACTCAGTGCCCACAGCTCCCACCTCTAGTATTCTCTTATGCTGAACTCTCAGAGCTCCTCACCTTGGGAGCTGCTTCCTTATTGCTTTGCTCAGTCATCTCCCTCTGCTCTTCCCTTGTTCCAGTAAAACAGACTCAAACATGCCACACTTACTTCTGGAGAGTGGGACAGAAGGATGAACTGCTGCCTCTGATGCACAGAACCTTCCTCCTTCAAGCCTTACATGTCCTTCTTTCTCTAATGGATCCCCAGGGTCCAAGCCCATGGGAGAGAAAACTTGGTCATTTCACCTGACTTTGCTAGCTTCAAGGTGAACTTGTTTGAAGTATGGAATAAATCAGCCACCCACTGAGCTG